TCTGACAGACTTCTGAAGCACATCTTCCCTCCCCCTGCCCCCCACTGAACTGTGTGCTACAGCAAGGTATAGACCAAAGTCAATTATCTATCATCACAACGGTTGGCCAACATTGGTCCTTAACAAATGTACACTGAAACAAGGTATAATGTCAAAGATAACAAAATAAAGGGAAGGAAGGAAGGAAGGGAGAAAGGGAGGGAGGGAGGGAGGGAGGGAGGGAGGGAGGGAGGGAGGGAGGATGGGAGACAGACAGACATCATCATTGAGGAACAGCAGACAGAGCTGAGGAACAAGGAAAGGCGTGGGTGTCTAAGAACGACAGGAGGAGGTGGGTGAATTCAAGCACATAGGTTTCTTTGGTTTCTTTCTAATCATGCTTTTTTATTAATATTATATTTAAGAAGAAAGCAGAAATGCTAGAATTCTCAAAAGCAGAGAACACCTCTATGGTACAGTTGATGTTGACCCTGACACAGGAAGAGGCTCGGGGCAGGAATGGACAACCAAGAAGCAACTTGGTCCAGCAACTCTAGCATCAGGGACAGCTGTCAGGGGGCAGCTCGAGCTACGCCCCAGACTTCAGACCCCACCCTGGACACTACTTAACATAGTTCCCTATAGATTTCAATTCCAGTGAAGCTTAGGGAGATGGATGAAGTCATCTGAAATGTGCTGACCAGTGCCCTGGCTCCCTCAAACTCCCGTGTCAGGCACCAATCAACTATCCAGACATAAGGGGTGTCACTTGGGTCCTTGGAGCTCAGCATCCTTGATGAAATGAGGTCTGGGGAACACTTTCTCAGGGGTCACAGGGCTCTGATCCCATCATAACCATCTCCATCTCCACCAAAAGAACGAAGAGCAACACTAGATACCCCTCGCCATTCATTCATTTCAAGATCTTTGGAGTATCTATTGTTCCAGACCACTGTGGTCAACACAAAGATTCTTGCATGAATAAAATACCCCACCCTGACCTCAAGTTGCTCAAGAACTTTGCAGGGAAACTGGGTGAAAAAAGAAAGTCAGGATCCAGGGTAGGAATGCGAAGAGCTGCCAGGGAAGCACAGAAGGTGGGGCGATGTCTTGGCTTGTGGGGAGGTAGGCAGAGAGGTCCAGGGGAGAGCAACACTGGGTTCCTTCTGCACCGACCTCAGCACAAAAAAAAGACAAAACTAGAATGGCCAGGGCCAGGGGGATGACTCAGGGGACTGGAGCTCGGGTTTTAAGGCAGGAACCCCTGGTTCTGAAATCTTGCATGGTTCCCCCAAGCACTGCTGGGTGTGACCAGAAGAAGAGATGTTACAAGAGCGCCCCTCAACCAACCTGGGGCTCCTGAGAACACAGGCCTCTCTGGGTTCACAAGACCCCAAGAGCGGTTCTTTGAATGGGAGCCATGAACAACCCACTGGTGCATCTCAGATCCCAACTTGCTCTAGGTTAGACCCATCCTCACCGCCTCCCCACCACCACCAGCCTGACTCCATTCTGGAATTCTCTTGCCTCCTTCTGAAAGCTGATATCTCTCTCACCACACATCCACTCTCCCTGGGGACTGTTTGAGGTTGCGAAGAGGGGATGCACTTTAATAGATGGGAGCAATTCATTACACTAGAAACTCCTCTACTCTGCATGTATTGACTGAGAGAGACAATGCCAAGATCCGATTGAATGTATCCCAGCAGAGACCAAAACTGTGGGTTCCTGAGAGGAAGAAATTTCTAGAATTCTTCAGGCGTGTGGAGACTGGCAGTGGGGAAAGTCATTGTGCCAGCTTACCCACTCCTGACCCCGAGAAGTTCCACGAGAGATGTCATTTTGCCAGCCTCAAGGCCAGTGTTCAGGAGAGACAGCCAACCTTCGGGACGATGGTTCTCGACCTTTAGAACAGACAGTTCCACGCAGACTTCCTTCCCTTTGGTACCTATCAACTGGATTTTTATTCTAGTTTCTTCATATCCAGCCTGCCTTTCCCCTGCCTCCTCCCCATTTTCGAGGTCCAGACAGACACATTAGATGCTCACTCTAAACTTGATCATGGAATTGGGTGGGCCGTTCTCATTTCATAATCTTGGGGAGGGCAAGGGGTACCCTGCACGCTGGAGGAGAGGGAGAATGTGTTCAAGGATGACGGGGCACAGGGCAGAGCTGTCTCACCTATTGAATCCCCCCAACCAACCCATTCCAGTTCCCATGTCCGCCTTTTAGATGCTCTGCCCGTGCCCACCAACAATGGCTGGGAGAGGGTGCATGCAGCCAAGGCAGATGTGGAGGTGTGAGCCATCTCCCTGGAGACCTTCCCCCCCCCCCCCCAAGCAGGTGCCTGCCGTTCGCCCTGTTACCAGAGGAAGGCGCTCTTCTCACTCTGCAGGAAGCAAGGGTGGGACTGGAGGAATTTCTGTCTTCCTCCTCCTCTTTTGGATGTGGCCTCCTTCCTGGTTCTCTCTCTCTCTCTCTCTCTCTCTCTCTCTCTCTCTCTCTCTCTCTCTCTCTCTCTTTCCTCGCACCCCCGCCTTAAATGGCACAAATACTGGGGTAATGGGAGACTCAGACACAGGATGGAATCAGCAGAGCAGAGAAGAGCCAAGCCAGGCCGTCCTTTACCACAGATCCCAACAGAGCAGAGAAGAGACCCCTGATGTTCTGCTTCCCCTAACATCACCCGGCGCAGCCTCTCCAACCAGCTTTTGTAGGGACCCCTTCCTTCCCCCTCTTGGCTGCCTCCTCTCTCCTTGGAAGGAAACCCATTGTGCCCCACTTCCTGCCCAGGGAGCCCCCAATGGGACAGAGCAAGCAGGATTGGGGAGACCCAAGAGAACCCGGTGGGTCTTGGTGCTAAGAGAAAGCACTGGTCCCAAGGAGCCAGGCCCAGCGGTCAGTTCACAAGGCCAGGGAGCCCCAGTGCCCTCCCTGGGGGCCCCACAGTGGCTCTGGGTGTGGGAGAGGTGCAGCCTGTAGATGGTGGCTGCTCCTTGAAGTCGCTGCCCCTGGGAACTCTCTTCATTCCTGGAAACACTCCCACCCCCACCACCCGCCTCACCTCCAGTTTAGCACCCCTGCTCTGTGGCCTGGACTCAGCCCCAGGAAGAGGGCCCGGAGCTGGCCTTCCTTCATCCCCTGGGCACTGCAGAAGGAGCCCTGTCCCCAGGACTCCCCTCTATCCCCATCCCCAGACCGCATCCTGGGACCCCATCTGGCCTTGTGTGTCTGTTCCGATGACCTGGTACCCACTCATAGAGCGCACCTTTCCACACCCTGACCCCGGTTCTATTTCGAAGCCCAATGAAGACTTCGCCCACCCTCCCACTTGAAGGAGGAGAGGAGATGAACACCAGCCCAGGCGTCTCTTAGGTGAACCCACACCAGACAACTTCAGCTATTTGGAGAGCTGGGGAGCAGGGGGCTCAGAGCGGGGGTGAGGGTCCCCCCGCGCCCCTTGCCATGCTTACAGTTGAGCAAGAAGCCCTAATGGCTTGGGGAGGGTGGAAACTTGGGGGAGGGGATGGAGGACGTGGTTGTGGCCATCCAATCCGCCTGACCCTTGAAGAACCAACTCCTTTCTGCTGGATGAATTCTGCTCTTGCCCACCCAACCCCACCAGCACTTTGGGCGGTTTCAAAGTATTGTCATAAGAAAGGTCAGGAATCATTTTTAACAAGGTTGCAAGAGAGTACTTTCCACCAGACGATGGGTGCTATAATGACTCTGCTTCCATATTCTGGAGATCTTCCCGAGCTAACTGCAGCCCCAGGCCCACTTTGCAGTTGGTGGAACGTGCAGTGGGAGAAGCCGCGGCCCCCGCCAACATGGCCCTGGTGTCCCCCGGCCCTTTGCCTGCCCCGAGACTCGGCAGGGATTGCTCCAGTGGCTAGCTGAGAAGTCATCAGCTCTGCCTTTTCCATTTCTCCTGCTCTTTCTCCCTCCGAGTACATGAAAATCCTGCTTCCCCACTCTCCACCGATTGTAAGAAAGAAGAAGGAAGGGTGGGGGGGGGGAAGAGGCGAATGAAAGTCCTCGTTCTATTTTGGGGGTCCGAGACGAAACCCTGCAAACGGCACATCTCTTTGTTTTACACAAAGACTCACGTGTCGAATTCTGCACCCTTTCCACGCACAGCATTTTAGAACTCTGCAAGATAGCCATTTTGCAAGAGTGTGGAAGTAACAGTTTGCTTGGAGGATGTGTGGGTATAAATAGATGTGTAGACAGAAGGAGAAATTTACAGCTTAAAAATAATAGCACACGGGGGGGGGGAGATAGAAAAAAATACAAATTAAAAGCCGAATATTGGCAGAAGCCCTCGTTTCCCGGCGAAAGCTGGGAGTCTGCTTAACCTGCAGAACCTTCCCCTGCCAGGTGAAGGGGAGCAGCCGGCGCCCACCAGCCCCGGCCCTGCAGTAGGCCTCCCGGGATCCCGGGCCCAGTGCTAGCCCAGCCAGCAAGTGGACCTCGGGCAGCCACCACACTGATCTCACGGATTATTTTTATTTTCTAAAGGGCATGGAAAGGATGCCTCGGAAGGCAGGGAGAGACGCTGAAGAAAGAAAGAAAGAAGCAGGAGAGTGGCCAAAGGGGGGGGGGGGGGGAGGCCAGCCTGGAGAAGGAAAAAAAATAAATAAAAACCAGAACCTTTAGCTCCCCGTGATTCAAATGCTATTTAACTCGAAAATCACACAGGTCTCCCAGCCGTGACTGCGAACGGGCACCCTTTCTACTGTGCCTACATGCAACCACCCCCTCTGTCTCCCCAAACCCCAAACCCCAAACCTGTTTGATGAAGAAGGAAAAGAAAGAACCTGGGAGATTCCCCTCTTTGTAAAAAGAAAAAGAAAAAAAAGCCCTGCTCCCCCCCCACACCCATCAGCAGTATTTTAATACCTTGCCACCCTTCCAATCCACCCCCACCCCTCCCAATCACACCACTTGAGGGACTGGGAGAGAGACAGGAACCAGGATCTCTACCTCCTGGAGAAGAAAACAAACGGAATTTGTCCTACCTTGGTCTGTAGAAGCCAAACCTCTAGCCGGCTGGATTAAGGGAGCGAGCATGTTGGGGTTGGCCAGTCTCCGCAGCTTGCCGGCATATCCACATAAGAAAGACGGAGGGTGGATGAAAGGAAGATCATTTAAAATCCAGTTTGGCTTGAATCGGGCTGGAATCTTGTGTCTTGAAGAGATGCAAATTCAAAGGGGGAAATACAGAGATACTGAATTCAAAGGTAATTCGGGGTCTGGAGAGGAGCTCACAATGCAGAATCCAGAGCATTCATGCCCGCGGCTCCTGAGGTTAGCAGCTGGGCTAGCTTGGTTGGTGGTTTTTGTTGGTTTTTTTTTTTTTTTCCTAATGATTCTTCAGGCAATTAAGGTTTTGGGTTTGGGAAGCTTCAGTGGAGAAGGCTCTGTATTGAGAAGCTGGGGGCCGGCTCTGTCCCTCCTTGAAGCATGGTCATTCCCAAAGCGTCCCCTTCCTAAGGAGGGGGGGGGAAAAGAGGCGGTCAGGCTGAATTGGAGTGCCCCCCAAAAGGGACGGAAAATGCTTTCCGAAAAAGCTCTCGATTCGATGTAAGAAAAGGGGGGGGGAGGAACCCCCGCGTTTCCCACAGAGTGCACACGAGAGGAATTGCAAACAGCTGGCACCGATCTATAAATAATTCAGAAAAGGTCTGGCTCTCCCATTCCTGGGACACGCGTGGATGAGAGGTGGGAAAGGCAACCTGAATGAGAGAGGGAGGGAGCGAGGGAGGGAGGGAGGGAACCAGGGAAGGAGGGGAGTGGGAGGGGAAGGGAGAAGCGGCACCCCCCAGCCACGCACAACGCACACTCACACACACACACACACACACTCACACTTACACGCGCGCGCGCGCGCGCGCACGGAAAGCGGGTCCCCACTTAACTCGCCCGCGAGCGCGACCCCCAGCCCCATCTGCATTGCTGCTGACTCGCCGGCCTCTCTCTGCCCATCGCCTCCGGCAGCAGCGCCTCCTCCCGCCCCGGGCTGGTGCTGAATGGGCTCTGATCGTGCACCGGCTGCACACTGGGCATTTCTTGGAAGGGGCGCGCGCACCCTCACACACGCCCCCGGCGCGCACGCGCCCCCGCGCGCACTCACACTCGCCCCCGCGCACACTCACCCCCGCACACACTCACGCCGCGCGCCTCGCCGCACCTGCACCGAGTCCAGTGGACGAAGGGTCGCGGCCCGTGGGGGGCACCCGATGCTCAGCCTCTCGGCTCCCAGCAGCAGACCCAAGGCAGCCCTGCCCCTTCCCCCGGCCCACCTCCCCGCACCAAAAAAGAAAAAAAAAATCCTTTATTAAAACAACAACAAAAACAGCCACGTCCAAATAAATGGGCAAGTGCCTGGTGCTGGGTGGGCGCAGGAGCTTTACCTAATACCAGGCTGGGGAAGGGTTCGACCGCTTCCACCCGGGCTTTGCCTGGCACGACCGAGCCCCCGCCGGGAGACCTGAGACTCCAAAGGCGAATCTTGACGTACCGGCTCGGAGCGCCTGGCGATTGCAGTCTCGGGAAAGAGGTGCTCAATGGCCCGGCATGGAGGGGTTTCCTCTCCTGCAAAGCAGGATTAATAATCCGTCTCTCGGGTGGGGAAGTTCACGACTCTTCTTTTGCAAAGCCCAGGAAAATGCATCCAGACGCTTAGGACTTCTGGATCGCGGGGAGCCAAAAATCTCACGCCGAGAGCGCCTTGCAGAAGTGCAAAGCCCCAGATTTCCTAGAGGTGAAGACGCCGGAGGAAGTGGATTTTGGAAGGGGGTGGGGAACCTTTCTTTCTTAAAAAAAAAAAAAAAAGAAAAAGAAGTGGGGGGGTGTGGAGAGGCAGAAGCCCAGATTCCAGTTGGTGATGCTCGGGGCCGGGGGAGGGGAAGCGGGCGGGGGCAGGCGATGCAAGACAACGGTTCGGCAGCGGGAGAGGAAGAGGAGGAGGGGGAGAGGAGGAAAACTGGGTATTAATCGCCAGCACGGGAGGGATGCAGGGTCGGGGGGCGTTGGGGAGCCGGGGATCACAGGTTGCCTGGACGTTCCCCGCCAGCGCACACATGCGCGCGCGCGCACACACACCTACCTCTCACACTCGGGCTCCAAAGGGAGGAGAAAACCCTCGAAGCCAGGGAAGATGCTTCTGCGCCCGCCGGTCCTCTTTCTCCACACCCCCCACCCCACCCCACCCCCAAGCCCCGTCCACGCCTCACGCCTATTGCTAGGATTCTGGCGGAGCCAGCTTCCCACGTCATGTGTTGGGGGGACTGTGGGGTAGGAAGGGGGAAAGAGGCTTAACCCGAGTCCGTGGCGCCTCCTGCCGGCCGCCGTGGGGAACAGCAGCGAGGAGGGGCTGCTTCGCTGCGGGGGTGGGTCCGAGAGCCTCTGGGCTAGTGGCCTCAACGGGCTGCTAGCTCAGCTGTGGGGAGGGTCTCCAAACGCAAAACCCTCCCTTGATTTTGCCTAAATCAGTTCCTGCTTCCTAGCTCCCCCCGCCCCTCACACCACACTCCACCCGCAGCGTGCTGTGCGCAGTTCAGAGCCCGGTTCTTGCCTTCAAGAAGCTTGAGATCTATTTTCAGCTCAGGAGACTGATTTATACAATAGGAAACCAAGCGAGGCAAATGTAATTACAAGCTAGATGGTATTGATACCGATGGTCCGGGGGCATTGCTGACTGGTGATGGTTTGAGGACTTTGGGGTGTGTGTGTGTGTGTGTGTGTGTGTGTGTGTGTGTGTGTGTGTGTGTTAATTAAGGTAGATCCTTTTATTTAAAGTCCTTGACGAGGTAAGTGAATAATCCCTAGATAAAACTCCATTTCATGGCATTTACAGACCCTTTTATGTAAAAGGCAAACATCCATTTATTTCTCTCTTAAGCTGTTTGCATTTTAATGGCACTAGAACCAACTATAGTCTTGTTTCTTTTTAATCTGAATAGCGTTGTCTTGATTTTTATCCTGATCCATTGTCTTTTCAATAATCAAGAATATTGCAAGGACCGGGCATTTTCTTAACATTTATGTCCACATTTCTCACCAACAGCCATAGAGAACTGGTAACAGTGAAGTGTTGGAAGTCCTGGCTGGGAGCTCACAGCTTTGATCTCCGCAGAATTACATGTGTGTTTCCACCTTTGGAGCAAACAGCACTCAAGGCTCTCCTGAACCTATTCCTTCAGGTCTCCGAGTCTTGGTTAGGCTTAATCTTTGAATACTGAGATTTTAAGGTCATGCTAACAAACAACATAGAGAAACAGGGCTGATCTTCCCCTTCTTAGAGAATTCCTGACACACCCGTGAGCTGCCAATTAGTTGGGGGTACAATAGCCCAGCACTGTTATGTGTAGATTTGCAGGTGTTAGAGCAAGGACATTGGTGGAGGGTAGTGGTGAAGGAATTGGTGTTGGAACATTGTCCGCCATTGAACATGAAATGCAATCATGAATATCCTTGAAACTTTGTAACTCATGGTGATTAAATTTTTTTAATTGGGAGGTGGGCACACCTGATGATGCTGATTACACCAGGGGTAACTCCTGGCTCTGCACTCAAGAATCACTCCTGACAGTTATCTAGGGACCATATGAGATGCCAGGAATCAAACTCCGATCGGCCACATGCAAGGCAAGCACCTTACCCACTGTACTATCTCTCTGGCCCCCTAAAAAAAAAATTAAATGGATGGGACTGGAGAGGATACTGTACAGAGGATGCAAAAATGAAAGCTGAAAGATTTCCAAAAACATCCATCCCTGGTCATCCAGGAATACCCGTTACCTTCAGACTAAGATTGAGGCTTCCCAAAAGAAGAGAGAAAAAGACAGAGACAGAGTCAGAGAGAGAAACGCGCCTGCCATAGAGGCAGGCAGGAGGTGAGGGGTGATGGGAGGGAACTTGGGGACACTAGTGCTAGGAAATGTACACTGATGGAGGGATGCGTGTTGGAACACTGTATGATTGAAGTCCAATGGTGAACAGCTTTGTAAGGGTCTATCTCACAGTGATTCAATTAAAAAAAATTTTTTTGTTTTGTTTTTTTAAAAACCCAGGCTTTCTGGAAGCTCGACCTTGACTCCACATTTTTAACCTCAGAGTTCTGCTTTCCTTTCTAATCCTCACCATCTCCATCAAAACCCAACAACTCTTCTATTTCCTTTCCACTCCATTCTGTTGGAACTCCATTCCCACCATTGGCAAGTATGAAGGAAAGAAGGAAACTCTTCAATCTTTGCTCCTAATCTAAGTCCTCACTTCTCCCCTTCAGTTCCTAGCTCAAATCTCACTTGCTTGGACACTGATTTTTCACTCCACCGACTCTGAAATGGTTTCTGCACGCATTTCAAAGATTTGAGGTCAGGTCTGGCACGCCACTCCCGTGGTCCCGACTCCCACCCTCTGCATTTTGATTTGTGCAGAGGAATTGGTATGATCAGTTATCAAGTACCTGGGTGACACTACTGGCATGTGCGATCAGGTGTCAGAGCTACTGTCCCTGCCAATGTTATGAAGATTTGGCCCAACATTTCCATAAGTTATAGATGACACCACTAGTATTTACAAATATCATTAACACATACTTATTGACCTCTAAGAAAAAGTCATTTTCTTAAGGTAAATTAAAAACTGTTCTCATGCACATCTCCTGTCTTCCCAATTCATTCTTAAACAACTTAAGGAAATACACTAGCATCTAATATACTAGCATCTAGGTGATCCATAGTGACCATGAGTCTGGCACAATCCCAGACACGCTGTGAGGTTCGACACTTGCCTTGGAATAATAACTATAAACCACTTGCCCAACTAGTGGGTCTGACTCTGGACTACCTCATTCTAAGGACTATGCTGCTTGACTGGTAGAAGGTCTCCAATGAGTCACCGTTGTCCATTCCACGGGATTAAAATGTCACTCCTCATTTCTCGGACTCCCTGACACTCACTTTCATGTTTCAAGAACTATCTTTGGCGCTCAGACCACAGAATCTTTCAGTGTGGCTTCAAAAATCAGCCAGGTTCATGGCATTAGAAGTATGGCATTGCTCAAGCTTGCAAACACAGTTCCCAACTCTGAAGCTGCACTGGAACAACATCCTAAAAGGACAGGACGTGGAATTATATTTCACATTGTTTAACTTTGCTAAAAACTCTTGCCTGTGGCTGTATTTCTGACACTGTAAGAAGTATTCTGCTAGCTCACTTGACCCCAGAAAAGAGGCCAAGAGATGCCAACATTTGTCTACGGTCCAATTCATGCAGGTGTGAAATGCACCCCTGCATGGATTTCCCAAAGGAAATCCATGTTTTCCCTACAACATCTTTCAGTTCAAGCCCAGGTACCATAGGATGGGGCCTGAAGCTCAAAATCTGGGGTTCTCTCTTTAGCCAAAGAGTAGACAAATTGAGGTGACTACTTAAAATAAGAAAATAAAGTGACAATAATTATTAAATCTTTGATACTTAGAAACACCTCCATTTTTAATTAAATGATAATTTCATTCATTGCTGCCTGGCTATTCTGTATGAGTCACCTTTTTGTGTTTTTTACTAATTATCCTATGGGCACCTCTTCACATAATGATCCATAGTATTACCCTCTGTAGCAATGACAGAGTCTTTATTGTGATTACTTGAATATGGTTTGTCTTTATTGATCATTTAGAAACATTTCTATTTCTTCATCTTAGTACAAGATATCTTTTTGAGGATTGTCAACTCTGGGGAAAACTTTATCAACATTGTATTACACATAAGCTTGAAGGTTTAGGATTTCTATTTTTTTGAATGATAAATAATTCTAAGTATGGTTTGAATTGATACCATTTACTGATCAGTTTGTAATGTACTAGAAGTTTTGCATAATCATCAATGTCCGGATTTTGTTTCAAACCAACTAGGAATTTAATCCACCCCCCATTGGTTGATCTGATTAACCCCTCTTGATTAACTGAATTATCAAATAATCTAGGAGGCTGTTCATTATTTCCATTAAAATTTTTTCTTTCCTTTTCAAATAATTACCTATAGGTATAACTGGGGAAAAACAATGTTGCAATTTATTTCTTCATGTCAGAAATCAATCTGATTTCTACTGACATGACAATCTCCATCTTCTTTTATATTCACTAATTATTATCTGGATTTTCCATTGGTTTCATAAAAAATAAATGTAGATCTTAAAAAGTAGAAACTCTTTAAGGATGTCCCAACGGCAATCTGTATTCTCCTTTTCTTACTGAAAAGAGAAACACATCTGCAAATGTCTTTCCAAATTGTAAAGTGGCACATTCAGGCTTTATCTACCCTGAGGAAACTTTTTTGCATTTCTATGTTTATATTTGGGAGAACCTTAATGTTGATGTATCCTGTGGAGAAATTTTCTGGTGACTGGAGCGATAGAATAGCGGGTATGGCATTTGCCTTGCACGCGGCAGACTCGGGTTCAATTCCCAGCCTCCCATATGGTTCCCTGAGCACTGCCAGGAGTAATCCCTGAGTGCAGAGCCAGGAGTAACCCCTGTGCATCGCTGAGTGTGACCCAAAAAGCAAAAAAAAATTTTAAAAAGTTGGCGACGCTTTCTAAAGAGACCTGTAACAACAGTTCCTTCCACTGGGGCAAGAGCAAGCGGCCCTCTAATTGTGCAGAAACACACCATAAAAATCAATGAAAAATAGCCAATGCTGAAATTTCTTCTCCTAAAACCGGGAAATAAATTCCCAGTGTGAAGGGTGCGCTTCCTAGGAGGGAGGGGATTATTTTTTTCTATAGGCATTGTTTCTCCTGAATGAGATTTACTTAACCCATTACTATCAAAATCATTAAAGAATCTTTTTCCAAAAATTTATTAAGACATATTGCTCTGTTCACATCACACCTCTCATGTTCATATGAAACTTCCACACATGAGAAAGTTAACTGAGGGGCCAGATCGATAGTATAACGGGGAGGGTGTTTGCCCTGTATGCGGCTGAAGTGGGTTCCATCCCCAGCATTCCCTCTGGTACCCATATGTACCAGGAATGATCCCGGAGCACTGCAGGGTGCAGCCTCCACACCCCCCCCCCAAAAAAAAACAAAAACCAAAAAAAACCTAAGTTGATTCTTTTGTCCTGTTACACTTTTCCTCCTGTCCACATTCAATTCATTTGTTTCAACTCTAAAGACCAAA